AGTCGATAATAATTTAACTTCCTTGAAATTTAATTTCTTTATCCTCAAAGCTCTTTGTGTTTGTGATATACAGAGTTTTGAGGGCTTTGTCAGTTAGGGGAATACAAACAATTATGTTTATCAGTCTCTCTTTGTCCACTTGTTATTTTTTTCATCTTATACAAGGGTTTCAGAGTCCTGTGGAGGAGTCAGAATTTAAAATATTCCTTTTATTCTGTTTCTGAAGTACTTAGCATAGTAGCATATTTTTTAATGCAATTTCAGAAATAACTTTTTAACGACCCCATAGGATTTTGATTGGGTAGGTCAGTGCTAATCATTGGAAGACAAAATGGTTTTTCAGTAAGGGGCTTGGACGTTGTAACATTGCTCTTTATGTTGAGTATTTTGTGAACTCATACAAGAAGTTGTTGGGGTTTTTTCCTCTATATCCCAATTCCCAGCTCAATAGTCTATTGATAACATGGTATCACATGTTATCAATATGTGTGGAGAAGAACTTGCTCTTCAAAGGGCCTCTTCTCCTATTCCTCTTCCCTTTATTGTTCAGCTATCAGTGGGAGTGGGGGCTTACATTTCTCTCAAGAAGGTAGCAAACCATTATTTTCAGATTTACTTTCTTCTTGGTGTTCCACCATCTTGCGGAAATATTAGTGTGGCCAGTGTTTGTGGAGGCACATTAAAAGAAAATTCTGTGGAATCCTGAATGTATGAGGAAGGACACAACTCAGTAGTGCCGAGTGGAAAGAGATCCCTGCCATTAGATGAGTTTATTTTTAATATGCTTGCAAAGTCTGGAAAAGGAATAGTTCACAGCACACAGACCTTAACCATGTCTGAGTTCTGAAGTAGATTGTAGTAGTTTGTAACCACAGACATTATAATTTGACGCTTACTATTTTCTGAAAAACCACTAACATTGCAGTCTGTGGTTGCATTACATAGATAAAGTTTAGTGCTGCCACCTGATCCTTGTGTGGAGACAGAAGAATTTTCCTATAAAATTGAAAAGCAACATATGGCTTGTTTTATTTTTTAAATACTGTCTGAAGTTCTCTGATGTATCGAGTACACTGCTTTTTCTTTCTGTCTTCCTACAGATTTATATGTTGTGATTGTGTGGTTGTCATTTCTAATACATGGATGACTGTGATTTGTCAATTGAGTATTTGAATATCTTTTTTTCATTTTTGATTAGGTATTCCTAATCTTTTAACTGGTGTCATGTCAAGCACATGTATAGAGAGTCATGTAACAAAGCTAACTTTGTGACTATAATTTGGTACTCCAGCCACTGATCAAATATGTAAAAAAAATAAAGGGAGGAGAGAGGGGAATTGCACCTCAAGTGCCATTTTGTGGAGTGTTCTTCCTTACCTTCTTACAGGAAACGGGTTTTTTTCATTTTCTTGAGTCTACTAAAATATCACTAAGAGGCTCAAATAACGCTCTACCCTTTCTAGTTAAAGATGAAATAAGGGCTGATTTTTACCTTTGCAACCAAAATCTAAGTTAGGATAGAATCTATAGGTAGATACAGCATTAGAGGAAAGAGCAAAGAGATGAAGGAAAGGTAGATACATGCTGAGAGAATGTACCTGCAGCTAAGGCTTTGTTCAACAGTAATAGGTAATATTTGAATTTAAATACCTTTATATTAGTTGATAATTTACTCTAACAACAGAAACAGAGCAAAGACAGACAGTGACTGAGTACCTAGACTAGAGCACTTAGTGGAAGGTCATACAAAAGAAATGAGGATTCTTGTCACAGAAGGAAAAACTAGTATCAATGATTAAGATCAAAAGTATATGACTGAGTTGACTTGACTTGGGAACTATTGTGCAGTGTTTGCTCTTTGAAGACTTCTGAACTGAGTGAAAGGGATAAACGAGTTTTGTTTCCATTTATTGATATCACAGCAAAGCTGTCTTTTGATAGTCTCGAGTGTCATTGTTTCACAGGACTCTGTTTGCCCATTTTGAACTGTAGGTATGGGACAGTACAAACCATGTCAGCCAGTTCAAGAGCATTGTCAGAGGTTGTAGGGCCTGTCATTTTAAGACATAACCTGTGAAGAAAGCTGTGTGTTTTATGGAACTGTTTAATTTCTCCTGAATCCAGTCAGCAGAATAACATTTCAGCTCAGATGAGAAACAGATATTCGGATCTAAGAGAAATGGATCCGTATGATTCATCCTGTGAATAATCACAGAAAAACCCCAACAAATCAAAAATGTTGTGGACAGCTGCCAGCAGTCTGGTAAATTCAAACATTGGGATGAAGCCTACTAAAGCAGGAGTCTTTTTGTCACATGAGATTGTCCTGTTTGGTGGCTACAGGATCTGTCTGGTGACAGTAAGTGTTGAGATGATTTTCAGGTGCTTATCAGGAGGTGATCAGTGTCTGAAACAGAGAATTGTTTATAAATTGGGAAGATATATCAGCACTTAATTTGGTTAACTAAAATGTGGTAGATGAATCATAGAATCACCTAGGTTGTAAAAGACCCTCAAGATCATTGAGTCTCTTTGTTAACCTCACGCCACCAAGGCCACCACTAACTCATGTCCCCAGTTGCCACACCTACATGTTTTTTAAGTACTTCCAGGGATGGTGATTTAACCACAGCCCTGCAGACTTGTGCCAATACCAACGGAAATGAAAAAGAATTCTTTCCAATTATACTTTTACTGTTTTAATGTCAGTACCCAATTCCATAAGGGTACTGCTAGTGGTTTGTGTTTCCTTGCATTTTATTCGTAGACTTTTAGAATTTGATTGTGGTTTTATTTGGACTTTATAGTCCAAATACTTATTTGGACTTACTATGTAGTGTTTCAAGTATTATATCGTGGATATTTAACATACTTCAATTGTTTTTAAGTATTTTATGGGCATAAAATTTTCTAGATATTAAGATATAGCAGTTTATCAGTACTGTAATTTGCTTTGAAGAGTTTAGTGGGATAGATTATGGGATTTTTTTCCATTCTAACACAAGACAGTATTTTGGGTTCTTTTGACAAATTAAACTGGCATGAAAATATAATTATAAGTACAGCACCATTCTGTAATATGTAATTTTCTCCTACTTTTTCTGTTAGTTTTGCCAGAGTTCTGCAGTGAAAGAAACCTTTTTCCGGGGATTTTTCTTTGGTAAACTGAATTAAAATAGAAAAAAATCATAATCACTTTTCACAACTATGATTTTCATGTGTACTACATTCCAGAACAGTGGGGACTACATAGTTACACATTTTAAATTTGGGATTTTTGACTTTTTCTGCTATAAAAATAGCAAAAGTGTAGTTTTGCAGAAACTACTCTGTTTTGGAAATAGAGCAAACAACTAAAGGTAAGAAATAGAGCTTTCTTTTCCAGTTGAATAACTTCCACTGAAGGGACTTTAAAAAAAATTTAGTTTGATCCAAGTGGGTGGATTATTCATTTTTTGCACTAATAGCATACTGTAAAATGCCACACTTAAATATACAGATGAATTATGCAACTTCATAAATATCTTCTGTTAGAACTCCACCTGTCCTCCAGCCAACCTTCCCCACTCCCCCAAATCCAAGTTGTAAATAAGTATCATAAAATGTCTGCATTGCTCTGCAGTCAAGTAAACCTGTAAACAAATCTCTGAGCAATGCAGTGTTATGTCTAACCAGCGAAGAGTAATAAGGATTTCATTTATATTTACCTTTGATTTTTCTAAGAGTTTTGATTTAAAAATAAAAAAAAATAATCATAAATCATGTATGTGAATAAAATGCACTAGAAGTCATGTTGTGTTCCTATTTGATCCACTGAGGTTTTTTCCATTTCCTGCTTAATTCTTCAGGGGCACCGCTAGTGTTTCTGTTTTTTCCAATTTGGAATGTTTAGAACAAATGCATAGGAATTGCCAATTTCTCCCTGATTTCTGAGGTACTCTGCATCTTCCCCTGAAAAATCATTTAAGATCGTGTGATTACTTTTACTGGGTGCTTTTCTTGCTTTTTGAAAGTGTTACATTTTCAGGATTTATAGGAATCTGAGTCTTGTCATTTTGTTCTCCTGAATCTTGGAAACAGAACACTTGGATTAATAATGTCATTACTTATTCCATGAGTGGCATTGGGAAGCTGGGATTTCAGTTTAGGGACAGTGACTTTAGCCCAGCAATTTGTTTCCTTAACCAAATACTGCAGGTGATAGGGATGTTTTAAGAAGTTGTTCCTGGCTTTCTCTACTGTAATGCATTTGATGTACAGTAATGCTAATTTAGGGGAGTATCTTTGCTGCTTTTTACTGCTGTGTACAGAATGTCCCTGGCAATTCCTAAAGCTTGGAAGCAAATTAACGATTTTGACAACTTTTTGTAGAAGTTTACACAAAGCTTTGGTAATCTGTATCACATGTTAAAAACCGACTTTGATGTTGTGGAAATGGCTCTAAAGTGCATCAAGGGAGGTTCAGACTGGACATTGTGAAGCTCTTCTTTGAAAGAGGGTGGTCAGACACTGGGAGAGGCTTCCAGAAAGCTGGTCATGCCCTAAGACTGTCAGTGTTTCAGAGGCTTTTGGAGAATCCCTTAGTAAGTTAATTCTTGGGCAGCCCTGAAGGGCTTAAGCAGCTGGAGCGATGATCTTGTAGGTCTCTTCCAACTGAAGTGGTCTGGCCTGATAACAGCAACTGGTAAATCCCTGCCATCTCTGCTCCTGATGGAAGGTAAAACCTGAATTGCTTTATTATTTTCTGCTCTCAGGGAACATTGTATTTCTATTAACATAGCTTTAAAGTGATAATTTCTCTCTTTTTTTCTCTCTCTTCTTTACCCTTTTACCTGCCTTTATCAATTTTAATAAAGATACTGCATACATTTAGGATAACTATAACTGGAAAAAGAGCATAGAGGCAATTGAAATTTAGCAGGAGGAAAAGGATTGACCTTTTATCACATTTGTGATTTTTTTTTTTTTCATATACACTTACATGCTTTTCTTTTGGAAAGGAAATTGTCAAGGAAGCAATAATGGAGGAGCAGAAACAAAGTGAAAAGGCAATCGAAGAAGCAGTAAAAAGGACAACAGAGGAACTGATGGAATATATTAAAGAGCAGAAGAGGGTGAGTTATCAGTGGATAATGGGTTTCATCATGAACTGAGAAATTGATAAAGTTTGCTAAACCTCAAACCTCTCTTAAAATTCACAGGAAAACAGAATTAGGAGTTAGGTTTTGGATCTTTCACACATTTTTTTTGAACAATTTGTTATTATGATACCTTTCTTCCTATATATTGGTAGACTTTCAAGTCCATCACAAGCTGAAAAGCATACATTAATTGTTCAGTTAAAATTTATAGCATTTCTTATTACATAAAGTAACATAAAGATGGGGCATAAATGCTGTCTATCAGATTTAAATTATGATCTGAGCTCAGATCATAGAAAACATTTCAGTACAAATAACAGGTGCTGTTTTATGTTCACAAATTATCTTTATTGGGTACTGGTATTCTATTAAGTGTGATTTATAGTCAGTGCATTGGTCTTGTTATGAAATGTTGCAATGTTCTGAAAGTTGTTTTCAGATGTTCTACTCATGCTATATCCTGGCAATTTAATGCTTGTGTATAAACAGTAAAATGTAGCTCAAGGGACTTTGATTTGCTTTCAGTAGGAGAAGAAAAAAATAAAACATTTCTCCCCTTTGAAGCTCTTTATAAAAACATAAGCAAAAAATAATTTTTAGAAACCTATTTCATATGGCAGTAGCAGCCTGAGCTCAAATTTCAGTATTCTCAATAAACAAAATCACTCAGCTTGCATCTAATGGGGAATGTTGTCCTGAGAAGGAAGTAGAAATAATGAGTTTGGCCTCTGCTTCTATATTCCCTGATTTTATAGGTTAAATAATACTATGGGAAATAGGATTTACCTTCAGAAGTTTCACTGTGCTAGTAGTTAAGATTGCAGTTGGGTGAGTTCCTTCCATTTTGCTGTGTATGGAGACATTTCCTTTTAGCAGGATTTATTTGATTTGGAAAGACAATTTAAACAGAATCCAGTTCAAAACATGATCCATAAGGATGTCTGAGCATATCTGAAGTCAGTTGTTTATGAAGGATAAACTGTGGGGAAGGTGAAAGTAGGTCTACTGTTAAAATAACTTATTGTAACTTACCGTAACTTATCATAAGTGTCATAAATAAATGGGTCAATAAGGCATCCAGTGCAGATGTATATGAAAATATCACCTTCAAAGAAACAAAATCGTTGGTTTATCTTGTAGGAGCATAAAATCCTTTCATTCCATAGAGCATATTCAATTATTTCAGCCAACCTTTTTCTCTTTTTGATCAGTTGACACATATCCATTAATTTTTTAAAAAATCATACATAAGGAGAACTAGATTTTTCTGGCATAAGATTTATAAAAACTGCATGTATTCAGGTTGGAAGGGAAAGACTTGCTTAACTCCAAATAGCATAGTAGCTTTTATATGATTACATAAGAGGTAGACCAAATGGTCAAAACTCATACACTTGTAAGAGTATAAATATACTTTGTGGACTGTGCTAAGTAATAGCAGCTTATGTAAGGAATTCCTAGAAAGAACTCAGGGAAAATGCCTTCTCGAAGATTTGGAGAGGTTTTTGGGTTTTTTTGATTGCCACAGGCATCTCAGGTACAAACTTGCAAAGGTAGTGGGCACTCTGTGTCATGATTGTTTTGAAAATCTGTTTGTAGAACCCTTCAAACCATGGGCACAGCAGTTTTGTACTTGGTTAGCAGGGGATTATTTGAATTAGTAGAAAGTTGCTTAACAAAAAGCAACAATATCATGATGCTAAAATGCTGGTAAGAATAAATGTAACTTCCTCTGTATTGAAGCCAAAAAAGTCACCAAACCTAGGGGAGAATTTATTGGCATGTCTTTCCACCTTCAAAAAATGAACACTAAAGCTAAAAAATAAGGGAAAAAAAAAAAAAAGAAAAAAAAACTGTGATTGAAACAGATATTTTCATACAACAAATGAAGATGTGTGGCATGTCGAGTAATTATGCCATATGAACCCAGGTTTTAACAGATATATAGCACAATGTTGGAAGCAGTTCTAATTATATACTCCAATCTTAGTTTTATTTTCTCTGTTCTATAATAAATGAAGATTTTTATATAGAAAAATGGGGACTTTTTAATGTTGCCACAGTTAACATCTTAAGAACTGTGGATATCTAAGATGTGAAGGAAATTTCAATCAGGAATTTAACTCTTTGTTATTTCATGATTATCTCATAACCATCACCATGCCAAAGAAGGCATCAAAACTGGACTGAAGTCAGGCTGCCTTGTCTGTTCAAAGACATTTTTCATCTCTGCCAGACTCGTAGAGATTTATTTCAACATTTGTAACACTTTGAAGAATCCATCTGAGTCAAATTCAAATGCATGTTAACCTGAATTGTTTTCCCCACTAAAGGTCCATACACATTATGTCCAGAAAGTTATCTTTGTTAATTGCTTGAAGGTATACGTGACTGTGTAGTCCTGCTTTGCCTTCATCTGCAATAAATATCAAGAAGGCAAAACAATGCTTCAACTTATTGCTGGTGGGGTGGACAATGAGGGGAGAGAGGTGAAGGGTTGCACACGGATAAAAAGACACTGAGGTAGGGCTAAATGGCAATCCCTACCTCAGCAATGCTTTCACTCCTGTCACGCAAATAAACGTTCTCTTTGGTTTGGATTCAGTGCATATCATGTGCCATAGAGCTCTATCTGAGACACAAATGTAGAGGAAAGAAAACACATCTTGCTAATGTGGTGGAATATATGTACATGTCTGTACATAGGCTCTCACGTATAGGTGTATACATCCACCTTTGTGTTTGTTACCTGGGCAAGACAGCAAGGAGTAGAGCTTAATGTCCTGTAAATTCTGATTTAGGATTAGAGCTCCCAAACCCTGATCCCTGGGCTACACAACAGAAGGATAGTAGTGCCCTTACCTGACCTGTACAACTGCATTTCTTTTGCAATATTTTTGGCTAAAATCTGATTAATGGGTATATGCTGCTCTGTTAGGAATATAAAGACAGTCTGGGCCTATCCCTGCTCCACTTTTTATGGACTTCACATGGGGTTTTGGCCCATTTATTAAATAGTTTGCTTCAGCTGGCTGATGCTAAAGTAAGTGGATACAAACAAAGCTTTTTCCCAAAGTGTAGTTTGTAAGAGCTCCAAGGAACTTTCACATTTGTTGTTTGCTCCTGAACACAATGCAGTTCCAAGGTGGACTGAAATTCTGGAGGTGTGTTGCAAGCATTCCAGATATGTGAGCAAAGGAGAAGTGTGATCATTCCCTGTATAAGTTGGGGTGCAGATCACAGTTTTTCCCTCATCCTTTGCTTGCACTTTGTCTCCTCTCACTGGTCCAAGATGTGAAGGAGGTGCTGCCTGCACCTGATGGTCCAGGGAGCTGAAGAATGAAAGGCAAGAATTGCTTTAAGGTAATAAGGTGAATTTTCAGAATCCACTGGTCTGAGAGAAGCCAAGCCAGCTGACTTAAGACAGTAATGCTTCATCTCTGAACTGAGAATAAGCTTGAAAATAAATAGTAAAATAGCAGATAAGCAATATCTGAATAAAATAATATCGGTATTGCTGTATATTAATCTCCTTGCTTCTTAATCTTATTTTGAGGCTGTGTGTTGGCCTTTTCTTTGCATTCAGACTGTGAACCTACAGATGTTGTGTAGTTTTCTGTAATTCCTGCTGTTCTATGAAGACAATTCTGGAAATATATTTACATTTTATATGACTGGCTGAGATTTTGTTTTTAAATTAACTTGCAGATAGGGAGTAAAAGACACAAACAAACTTTATGATTTTTTTTTTTAATAACTGAATGAAAATGTTGAAAGCTATGTAATACTGACTTAAGCAAGTGTGTTAGTTTGCCAGGGGACATCTATACATACCAGAATGTCACCCAGAGAATTCTGGTGGGGCTTTATATTTCCAGATGTATCATAAAAATTCTGATGATCAAGGCAATTGATTGGTCACTGCTGTACTTCAAACTAAGATCTATATCCAATTATTTGTTGTTAGAAAAGTCAGGAAATTCTTTGCTCTGCTTCTTATTTTTTCATACTTGGACAGTGTTCTGGTTTCTTGAACATAATCTGCAAATGTTAAAAACTTTCAACAAAACCTTTTGTTAAAAACTAAGCCTTGTTAATTCTAAAATCACACAAATGTTAGGAAGTCTTGTATAATAGAAGTTTACAAAAGTATTCTGTTATAATATTCAAGTATTCTGCCTGTGCTGCAGGTTGCAAGTTGTTTATAAATGTCATAGTTCAGTAATTTACTGCCTATTCACTCCAATTGAATGCTTAAAAATATTAATTCAATATGTTTTATTTATTATGTATTTATAGCAGCCAAAAAAACAAGTGTTCTAGTAGTTTTGTGCCTAATTAATTTTTGTGACCATTAGCTGTATAGAGAAAAAAAATAGTTATTGAAGTTGGTATACAAAGGAGAGTGTAAGTTACAAGAGGAAAAGTATTCTACCAAATAAAGCTTGTGCTGAATAGGTTATTTAAAGAACTTCTCTAAATCACAAAGTTTCACTTCATGAGGTGAGTAGCTAGCCAACAAGCAAATTATAATTTTTCCTATTTAAACTGACATTCATCTCCCCTCAGGAAAATCTACTGCTTGCTTTCTGACAGCAAAGCTGAGGATATTAATCAGTCGCCTTTTGTCTGCTAATTGTACACGGTTTTTGTTGGCTTTAGAGGACATATTTTGGCCTGTCAGGAAAAAAACTTTATGTTAGGGCTTGAGTAATCACTGGAATGACAGATATGTTTTTAATGCAGCCCCTCTTTCCCTGGCCTTCAGACACTTACCATAAATGCACTCCCATCCTGATTTAAGGGTCAGAGTCTGAGAGCAGAGATGTCACCATTATAACAAAACTCTCTGTACTACTGTGTGTTCCCATATGATTTGTGCAGCTGTGCCTCATAACCTTTAAAAGAAAACAGAACTAAACATTTCTCTGACTAATGTTTACCAAAATACTGCAGAATTGAGAATAGCCCAA